CTGTGAGTTTACCTCCCGAAGAACCTCAAGGACCCCGAAAGATCTGCAGATGTTGTTCGCCAGTGGCGCAAATGTTTCAGTACTTGCTGTCATCGAAAACTGTTCTGGCCGGTGTTAGTTCAACCTTCATAGACCAACCACTTCATATGAAAACTATCACAGGCCTTAATTTCATGTGGGAAAAGGTGATATAAGAGGAAAAGGTATCGCATTATAACTCATTCTTCATAGGTAACGATACACCTACCGTACAATTATACAATACCACCCATATTATTGGCATCTGCTTGGCCTCGGCCTACACATCGCAGCGTCTACATCTACGTCGTTGGTAAGTTCCGGCGCCACTTGCGCACTGAGATATCGAGTTGTGTAGGGCTATAGCACATTCTGTTTTCGCTTATCAAGCTGGCTTCCATACTCCTATACTGCGCTAATCCTGTACTGCGTTCATCCCGCAGCACACATTATCGGCTAAACTGCTCATAAGCTAATACTGCGGTGACCGAGACAGTCGGGTGCATTCTAGGCACCTTACGTCTGTTGGCGCTGAAAATAATGCAGTAATGAAGCTTTCTGAATCCACCGCTGCCTGATAGTCCAAAGCAGCTTCCCGGATTTTCTGCTTATCCCGCCGCTCGTCATCTAAACAAGGCCCCATGACCGCCCTATCCTTTTCGATCGCCAAATTAAAATATCCCTATAATTCGGTGACGGCCATCAAGCTTCGTGTTGAATGACAAGCTAGGTTGCGATGAGCGTAGGCTTCGGTTGCAAACACGGCGATCCCGGGCGCGATCTTCGGCCTGGGGCCGTTTATCGCGAGCTGGAAATTCCTGCCGACCGGATCAGCCTTGGGATCCAAATACAGACCGCTAGAGAACCTACGGTACAAGGGATGTGGCCCAGGAAGGCAGCAATCTGGCTTATGAGTGCGCGAGTTTTATGAATATTGCAGCAATAATGTGTTGTCGACAATAGGGCGTAGCTTACAAATATTCTTGTAGGCGTGCTTATCGTGGGTCATTCAACAGCTTATCAATCAGCCTTGAGATTAATAACTGACTTGAAAGAGTGTATATATATATAATATCCAGCTGTCAATAAGCTGTAGCTAAAATTTTGTGGTCACTAGTTGCTCACGACTTCAACCAAGTTCTTGTGCTCCCAGTATGTCGACACCTTTGCTGAGCCTTCTGCTCTCGGGTTTAACCCTGTTTGGGGTGCCCGCTGATGCGGTTGCGACACAACAATCTCAAGTTAAACCCTTCGAAATTAATCTTTCAGAACGGGTACCGCACATGCTCGACTTGATTCAGAATACTCAGCTTCCATCGTCCGAATTTGTGGCGGCCCGTGAAAGCACGAATGGCACCCTGTCCACCGGGATTTCGCTGCAGACACTTAAAGAATTACAGAGTGAATGGATAACTGGCTTCAATTGGGACAAGGAGCAAGCTTCCATGAACAAGTGTGGAGAAACTCCATGTATGAACTTTGACGATTGTGAGGCTTACTTGATGGCAGATTACATCACTTCACCGTCAACATTGAAGGTATAGATGGTAAGTGATATTCCAAGTCATATACTTCCTATTTTAGACGCGGCCAAGAGTAGATATCTCCTGGCCTGGTTATATCAATGTCCCGGGAGCTCTGTACTCCTGAGAAGAGAAATTACTGACTATTGACTGTTGCAGTGCACTTTGTCCACGAGGTATCTGGAAGCCCGGACGCAATTCCTATAATCTTGCTGCACGGATGGCCGGGCACGTTTCTCGAAATGGCGCCTTTGATAGATTTATTGGCACCGAAATCTCAGGCGGCAGGGAAGACTGCAAACACCACGTTTGACGTGGTGATACCATCGCTTCCCGGCTTTGGCTTTTCATCTCCCCCTCCGACTCAAGCCTGGACCGCCCAAGATTCGGCCCGCGTGTTCAACAAGCTCATGACTCAAGCCCTGGGGTATCAGCGCTACGCCGTCCATGGATCCGACTGGGGCTCGGATGTAGGGTATTCCATGTATGACCAGTTCAACACGACCGTCCGAGCTACCCACCTGAACTTCTTGCCGTTTGCTCCACCAAAGGCCGCGGATATAGCAGCAAGGAACATCGCCCTGTCCCCTGGAGAGGTTGTTGCCGAGAATAGAGGCGCCGATTGGGGATCGGCTGGTAACGGATATTTTATTGAACAGTCAACCAAGGTATGGCTATTCTCTTTATCTCCATACTTTGAAACTGCCTGATAACTGACCCGGAACAGCCTAACACCATCGGTCTCGCCTTGTATGATAACCCCGTCGGCCAGTTAGCGTGGATCGGCGAGAAATTCATAGCTTGTGAGTTTGCCTACCTTTAGCCATCGCTCCGATTATTATGTCTAACAACAGCACAGGGTCTGATCCGCGACAAGGAACTGGGCCGTCTCTCTTAACGCATAATGAGATTCTGCGCGAAGTATCGCTCTATTACCTTACCGGGTCGTTCGTTTCGTCCGTCTACATTTACGCTCAGAACCCAAACGGGTTCAGACAGACCGATTACTCTAACGTGAAAGCACGGACTGATGCGCCTCTCTTCTATACCACTTTTGAATATAATATTGGGTTCTGGCCAAAGGAGTATGTTGCTGCAGTCGGTAATTTGGTGTCTTATAATTGTGAGTCTCATGGTAGCCTTCTATCATACTATAGTGTAGACGTCGACTAACTTTATATGAAGTTCGAGAATTTGGTGGCCATTTTCCCGGATTAGATAACCCAGCCGGCTTGGCTGATGATATCAGAGAGATTGGAAAGTATTGGCAATACTGAGAATAAGGGTGCGGAGATTGTGGTCAAGTCTTGAGTAAATGTTTATTTAACTGCACGGAGGATTTAAATAGCAGGAGACATTATAATATTTTCGAGACAGGGCTTTTATGCATAATTGGAGCTTAATCAACCCACTACCTTGGCGACCGTCTACTATTATGAAGCCATATAGGGTAAATAGCTTTAAAAGCACTTGGTTACGGGGTTTGTGAGACATCATGACAACTCAAAAAAATATCAAGTCTTGATGAATGCATCTCCCGGCGCTTCTCCTGGTAAACCTATCATCTATTTAGTTGACACTTATTCTGTTGTTAGATATCATTTCAACACGGTTCCTAATACCAAAGAAGTCTCGCGAATGTATCATCAGCGGTTTCAATTTAACTTTGCGATTTGACTAATAATTGTGCTATACAGAGGTCGGTAAACCCGCGCGAATATCTTCGTAGTGGCCACGGCCCTTTCTTTGTCTGTGACTAGAGGTTAATCAACTAGTAGACCGTTGTGGATATCAGCCTTTATCTCATTGCCGACGCGAGGGACAAGGAGCATCCGGTTCCAGATAACCGAACCCGGCTCTGTTTGGAAAACCCCGGGAGTTATTCTTTGTTTTAACGTTGATTACATTGGTCCGGCGTGCTAGATTTGCTACTGCCTTTTGTTGTGAATAGAATCACTTTGTGCTGAGCCGCAGATTCAGTTATAGAATGAGCAGGCCTCTCAATAAGAAAGTGGCAATAGTAAAGGGCGTATAGTATAAACATGGTTTTTGACGTCTTTATTTTGATCGGATTGGTGGTCCTCGAATGGGGAATCATTCAATTTAAGCGCCGTGAAGAAGGACATCCCAGAATCAGTGCGCATTTAGACACTACTCCTACTAAAACCACTACTCCTACTAAAACCACTACTCCTACTAATACCACTACTACTACTACTTCTACTACTACTACTTCTACTACTACTACTTCTACTACCACTACTACTTCTACTACCACTACTCCCACTACCATTACCGCCACCACTACCGTCGCTAACGCTCAGACCACTGCGCAATCAATGGCGCATGTGACTGATGATTGCGATTTTAGCTTGCTACACGGCGGTGCCTCCGTACTTAAACCACCTTTTGATGTGGCGTATAGCATCGACCTAACACAGTGGCAAGCTGGTGCGTATAAAAACCTTCCGTGCCGGATCACTTAGTCTCAGATACGGGACCTAGATATATCGACTAACATGTTTTTATGTACACAGCCTGGCGTCAATTTAGCGAACTAAAGAGGCTGATCAGTATTCACCAAGGCGCGCTCACTTCGCGACGCGGAACTGAGGAGTTCGAGAAGTTTTTGGTTGACCTGGAGACTCTGGTCGGAAAGCCATTACGGTACGGCTGTTCCACGCTGCACGGCTTGCAGGTTGGATTTCTTGAGTTCAGGGACACAGATATCAACCATGACGATGAGCATCGGGTTATCTTAAGCAACATGTTAAGGGAGGCCGAAATTAGCATAATTAACAATACTCTTGGAACATCGATTACGAACCTGTTGCCGTCTTGGGCTCGCCAGGCGCCGGAGCTCCGAAGCGACAACTGCCCCGGCCAAGACTGCTTCAGGATGGGGGACACCGCACTCGATATCGCCATGCTTCAGATCCCGATAGAGCTTATCAATGGAGTACGTAGGGTGCAATCAGACACACTGATTGGCGGGATGTATTCGACAAACAGGGGAGAGAGCCGGGCATTTGAGACTGTGATCCCGTGGAGCAGAGTCACGGTAGCCCGAACGCGGAATTCAGCCCTGTTTCCAAAATTGAAATACCCGATTGGACAGTGGATCACAGGCCTCCTTGTTGTTGGAGGCATGGTTTCATATGGCATAGCCGCACGTGAACGGAGGCCTCTACGTCGGAAAACAATTTTGATGTTGGGAGTAACTTCATTTGTATTGGGTGTTGTCATAGGGTTGATGGATTAAGTTACGGATCTCTTGCTTGGCTGGTGGCCTAGTGGCTGTGCTACTTCAGTATAAATTTTATAGCCTAGATTCTGTTTTCTTCTTTTTTTCTCCTTATCCATAAAACTTTGCATAATATAACACATACTATAAAAGCTTCCAAGTTTACTTTAACCTTTATGTTTAATGTAAAAAAAGTAAAGCTGACAAGCCTTTAACGACCCAGACGGGACTCGAACCCACAATCTTTGCCAATTCCATACCGGAAAGCAACGCCTTAGCCATTAGGCCACCAGGCCGGAACTCGTTTTAGATGCACCTTAGAAGGGTTTGAGAAGCCGATGGGCACCGTCTTAGCCATAAGTGGAAAGTTTGTGCTCTGGAAAGAAAATGACCACGAGAATTAGTTACTCACAATGAGCCCGCGGCATGTTCAGGAGCTGGTAGTGCCATGCCAACACACCAATGTATAACGGCTACTTTTCGGACGAAAAGCTAGCCCCAATTGCTCCCCAAACACATAAAGATCACGTAACAAATAACAAGCGTTGGTAGAACATGTGGATCAACACACTGTAAGCACCAGATCCTCGGAGGCAATACCTGAATAACCCCACTAATACGCCATTCCGACACACCGAATATCGGTATATACATTTATTCTCCTGGAATCCTATGAGAAATGGCGCCCAACATCATGGAACACCCAGTAGTCAACCTGTTGAAATCGCTTATGTCGATTGTCAGTACCAGCGAGCTGGAGCATAGCATCGGCGTCTTCCTAGAACAGCATCTCCAGAGCCTGGGCTACACCGTCGAGCGTATTCCGATCGCGCCAGGGTCCACTCGCCACAATGTGTACGCTTACCTCGGCTCGGCCCGCAAGACGCGCGTGCTTCTCACAGCTCATATGGATACCGTGCCGCCGCACATTCCGCTGACTGTCGACGGCGATATCATCCGTGGAAGGGGGTCTTCCGATGATCTCGGCCCGCTGGCGGCTCAGATTGTAGCCGCGGAGGAACTGAGGAAAGAAGGGAAGATCCGCGCGGAGGGGGATATCGGGCTATTATTCGTAGTGGGCGAGGAAAACGGCGGGCATGGGATGATTGCCGCCAATGATATGGGGGTAGCCTGGGAATCAGGAATCTTCGCTGAACCAACGGAAAGTAAGCTTGCGAAGGGCCATAAGGGACAAGTAGCCTTTGAAGTCATCGCTCGCGGCATCGCGTGGTACGTGCAATCTGTAAAAGGAGCCTGTTGAAAAATCATGTTGACGAAGCATCAAAGCCATTCGGGGTATCCTCATCTCGGGAAAAGCGCAACTTCAACGCTTCTAGCTGTGTTGAACGAGCTCTCTGCAACAAGATGGCCTAAATCTGACCTTCTAGGTCCTTCTACGTTCAATATTGGGACTCTTGAGGGTGGAGAGAAACACAACATCGTCGCCCCGTCGGCTAAGGCTCTCTGCGAAGTCCGCATGGTCTCCGACCTACCCGGCATCAAGGCCAAACTCGCAGAAATCATATCCCGGTATCCAGATGTGGAGCTGAATTTCGTTTTTGAATACCCCGAGGCTCTCCTAGACTGGGAGATAGAGGGTTTCGATGCCGCTCCAGTGGCTTTTGGAACTGACGTGCCTCGACTCAAAGACGAGTTGTGCAACAAGAGAGTTCTGTATGGACCGGGGTCGATTCTCGTAGCACACGGACCAGATGAGTACATCCGTGTACCGGAATTAATTGAAAGTATATCCGGATACAAAAGATTAGTTCTTCATTTCCTCCAGTGAGGAGCCTGCCGTCACACGTATCCGAAGACTAGGACGTGCATATCATGTATATAGTTATATGAGTGTGAGACTTTGTGCGGGCTTTAGCTTCTCTTTCCAAAACAGCTATGCGAAAGAGAGTCGGAAACTAGAAAGGAGGCCATTCGGACATATAGTCTGCAGATCTCCCATCTGGCCGAAAAAGGGACGAGACCTTCATAGCCACTATTGCGCCCTAGAATATCATTCGCAATATTGAGCCCTCGGTACGAAGGCCTCCGCTGACTCATTGTAGCGGTGCGGCGGTCTCACTGGTTCTGCCTCATCCTCCGTAGCTGCCGGTGCTCCGTTTTACCATCGGCTCCTCGACTCCACTAGGACAACCGCATTAAACCGGAACCGCCGGGCATCCGGAACACCCTACTCATCCTATTCCGGGAGAGGGGAAGGGGCCAAGTATTAACGAGCTTGCAACGAGATCACTAAGTAGTAACTTGAGAGTAGGTTTGTAACAAACACCTGATTACTTCCATTTCCGTATATCTAGCCTCTTGTCTTCTAACTCCGCGAAAGGCGTCGTTTCTTTTCTTGCTCTATCTCTCTTAGTCAACTCATATACATTCTCGTCTTTCGACATTTTCCGGTTCCCAGACAAATCTCCACGAGATGTGACTTACATCTTTCCTCGGCTTTAGCCTCACCCAGATGTCTTCCACCGGCGTCAGAATACTCGTCGAAAAATGACACCTCTTTTGGGGAATATTCCAAACTCCTTCCAATGGGTCGAGATCATACTTTAATACCATCATTATCAAAGTGCCGATAATTTCGTGCACCGCTAAATGTCTTCCCGGACACAAAGCATTCCCTCCGCCGAATGTGCGATATGTAGCCCCTGAACCTTTATGACCCTCCCGTCTGAGGAAACGCTTCGGATCAAAGGAGTCCGCTGTTAGTCCCCATATATCCCGACTATTATGTATTGGCGTGGATGGCACCACAAGAAATGCATCCTTTTTCAGTAGATAGGTTAATCCGTCCCCGTCCTGAACATAGGTATCTCGAAGGAGGAAGCGAGCGGATGCATTATTGCTTTGAATGCGGAGAACCTCTTTAACAAGTGACCCTAATAGTGGGAAATCTTGAGTAACCTGGGGTATGTTTACCGTAGCAGTAGAGCTTGTAAGCGGCTTGCCTTTATGAAAGACTACAGCTTCGATAGGGCTGACATATTTGGAGTGAAGAGTTTTCTCTACCGTTGGTAAGGCTGTGAGAAATAGATGGGTTCTGAGGTGGAGGGTGGGGGGTGGGGGAAGTATCGGCCCTGCAGATTGATTGCTGTCACGGTACAGAATCGCAGCACTATACTTCCACACTGCCATCACGTACACAGACTTAAAGTGTCGCCTGAAGCCCGCAACTATGGTGCAGAAAGTCGATTGAAATCACTACATCTCTTTGGTGGCCCGCAGACCATGCGTATCAGTTTCCATCGAGCACAGTAAGCATAATACTGCCACATAGCCAACCGGATCGTAAGGCTGGCAGCAATAAACTCTGATGCTTGTTGCCACCTGATGCATCCCTTAAGAGACCCATTAGACTAAATGACTGGCCGAGAGCCCTTGCAAGGGTCACACCACCCCTACTAACAAAAGTGACACAATTTAAGCATATCTATACACGCCTTTACGCAAAACGAGTTAGCATCATCAGTTTATTGCAGTACTTCTAGCATAGGTATAATTAGGTCGAAAGCGAGGTACTTTAAAATATGCTATTCACATTGGTTACTAAGAGGCCTGGCATGTATTTTCGAATGGGTCTCTTAAGGGATAATGTATGTTGATTTCCGGGGTATTTGTTAAAATAAGGGATGACGGTACACTCCACTCCCCTGTATATATGTACACCTTCTCCCCCGGAGCTGTAGGCTCCCTTCTCCTTCTGCTTCTTCTGATTAAACTGCTTGCCTGTTCACTGGTATGTGTCTCCACTCCTTTTGACAATATTCAACTAATAATTCTCTTGGGGTCTCAAGGGTCTTTGGTTTCTTTCCCTTTCAGTCAATGTAACTGAGCCTTTTGCCTTCTACTCATATTCGTCCCTTTCAGCCTACAATACCCCCCTTTTAATCGGGTTCCGATTGTAGGCCGTCCTCACACACCGTCATGTTCCCGTGATTCTCACAGGCCGATAGCCATTGGTTTCTAGGGTGTGTGTCTTGAACCAGGACTTGGCAGGCTGGTCTGTTAGTAGGTCCATCCATTAGCTGTATCTTCTTTTGATCCAGTTACGTGAACTTAGGCATTAAGCAACTAAAAGACCGTTACGTTAATTCCCCACACTGCTTCAAATATTCAACCATCAACTGTGGTCCGTCCTTTGTCTCCTGCTAGTCGGCTGCGATGGAGCTATCGACAAGGTGGATGTCACTTGTGCCATGGCATGAGGAAAACGAGCTCTCGACAGCGGATATTAACCCCGCGAATATCACACCTTCCTTTTTCGCTTGCCAGACCAGCGTTATAGGGGACGAGGGCGATGCAGAACAGTTGGCCCAAAGTTCTACCGTGTATTCTAAACACTCAGAGGATGAGGATAATGAGTTTCACGGGAAAGATGACTTACACCGTGTCGGCGGGGCCTTCCCGTTGCAATATCCAAATCAGAATTCATTGGATGATAACCAAGCAGAATTTGGAAGCGAACTCTTAGCCGAACAAGGTCTCGAGAGATGCCTTCGAAGTGCTATGGTCAACTCAATAGGGTGTGATTCGGAACAGAAATTATTTGTTCCTGTGGACGATCTAGATAGCATTATCAACACCAGGACTGTCCTTCTGGAGCTTGAGAGATTGAGAATAGTCCCTGACAAAGATTTGAGATCCCGCACCCGTCAGATCTGTGGAATACACAATGGAAAGTCGCCTCAAGATGGCAAGATAACTATCACCACTAGGTGACGCATTTTTGCAACCTTGGTCTTAATTAGCCAGACCAAAGCAATCTTAGAGGTCATTGAGGGAGGCTTTTATGATTGGGACCTTCCACTGGAACTGGACAGATCACATCTTGGATTTCCTCAACTGGTAAGGAAAGTGACTGGAGATAAACCGGACCCGTTGGTTTCTCTCAAAATTGGCCTCCCTACCAGCACGAGGCCTTCTTCAGGTGCCAGTGGCAATTACTAAGTCCGTATATTGAGATGCGAACTCAAGCAGATGCCAAGATAAATCACTATCTGCTTGACCCAAACATCATTCTCCCAATCACCAATATCAGCGGACCAGACCGCCGGGGAGGGCTTCGGAATGTTTCAAAGATCAAAATCCACTCCGCCCACCGAAACTCATTGCCTAGCGTAAGTACAGAGCCTTTATCCGGTAACGGTTTTATATACTAACGCATTCAGGGCTCGGAGCCTTGGCTAGCACTCAAGAGACTTCAACACAGTAGCGAACAGGCCTTTCGAGCAGAAGTAGACCCACTGAAGCGCCTCGAAAAGGACCACCCTCACCTCATCCA